GCTACGCTGATGACACACAACGGTACGTCCCTGTTAAGCCCACTGACCTAAACCATGCTGAGATCTTGTCAGAAGTGCCGTTTTGATGTAAGAAACTGGATGTCCAAGAGTGTTTTTTCCAGCTGAACTCAGCCCAAACTAAAATTCTTGTTACACGCCCAAGCAACACAAAACTTAATTGACTTACATCCACTTGGAACTTGTCGTATTACATTAAGCCTGTTGATAGAAACCTCGACATCTTGTTTGACGAGGATTTCAGCTTTGAGCACCACATTACAAAATTTGTGCGAACATGTTTATATCAACTGAGAAACAGAATTAAGTCTCGGTTAACCATCTGAACCCCCAAACAGGCATCTCATCTATAAATACTTTCCAAAATGACACCATTTACCAAAGATAGAAGCCATTAAAACAGGCAGAATTGGCAATTCTTTAACTTTCCGGCAGTCCTTGAACTACTTATCGTTGATGTGTCGTTCTGTTTTGAAGCTTAATCTAATTTAAGCCTTAAATCTACTTGTCTCATATACAAAATTGTCAAAAACAGTCTGTATGCTGCAACCAGAGGCGAAGTTTGAATACTTGTAGAATTATGTTGGACCAGTGACGTCATTTTATGGGTTCCTGAAATGTGCAGCCACCATTTTTTCCAGAACAGTCGTGACTCGATAATCCGACACTAAATGTAAAACCTTCTATGTCGGATAGCAAGGCTGTCGGATTGTCAAGACGGAGGTCCAGATACGAGGAGGGCTTGATGCTGGAAGGCTCATTAGTTGTTAATTATTGTTATAATAACTAGTAGGGCTGGTCCTAATAGCACTTTCTGCTCTCTGAATATTCAGGCCCAATTAATGATGAATAGCAGAATATTCGGTGCGGTCGGGGGACACTTCCACCCCGGGGCAGCGCTCTGACGGGGTGGAAGTGTCCAGAACACACAGGCAGTACTTGGCTGCTGATGCTAGTTTAGTTAGCGCTCACACTTCTGTTTCCTCCATCGGTGGCGGCGGGGGAGTGGCAGATACGCTCCACCGTTAAAAATCCATGTTTACTTCCATAAACACTGAGCACGCTCGCTGCGTGTGACGTCGTCGTGTCCTCTTCTGCGCATGCGGGACACTTTTGGGTCGTATGAAGTTCACACAGCAGATCACATACAAGTCGCATTGAAGTGGAAACGTGAAGGAAGTCACAAAGAAATCCTCATTGAGCATCAAGTCCTGCAGTGTGAACGTAGCCAATCTGTGGGATTGTTCAGTCAGATAATACGCCGTCATCCTGATTGGTGACATTAAATGTCATGTCGGAGTCAGAATCCAAGGCTGTCGCTATGTTAAGGCTGTTTTTATGGGTTCTGTTGGTTTTTCCTAAAAACCTGTCGGATAGCAGGTTTAGGATTGTTAAGGGTCGATCATCCAGTCACAACTGTACTTGTAACACCTGTGGACACTTTTTTTGTAAAATAAATTTTCCAAAACATTCAACTCCACATTTTTCAGTCTTAAAAAATGATTTACAGCATTTATACCATTATAACATTATTATACCACACAAAAGACACTTGACTTCTGTCTCCTTCTGGTCGTGGTTGTGCAGGACTTTACGTTTTAGTGAAAAGCCACAACAACAAGAAGCTACTTGAGGTTCCGAGGGTCAAGTTTTAACGATGCAAAAACTGTTCTGCCAGGTTTTTAACCAGAGTGGACAGGTTTGAGGTAATTACTCCAGTTATATCCTCTTCACACAGGCCTCCAGTATCTTTTAGTGGGGTTCACTTTTTAATTACTTACAAAGCATTACATGGTCCCAGTAATGTGTCTGATCTTTTGTCTTTGTACAACCCGGTTCACACTCCAGATCCAGAGCCTTGGGCAGAGGCTTTCTGTCTGTTCCAGACTTTCAACCGAAGACTAAAAGGGACAGAGCTTTTGAAATAACAACCCCGCGGCTCTGGAATATCCTGCTCGAGGAAATAATGCAGTCTGAGATCTTTTAAATCTGAGCGTGACGCGTGCTCTTTTCACTCCACCTTCCCCTGATATGATCCGTTCACCGTCGCTGCTCTTTCTATGGGTTTAGCCGTTCGTAGCTTTGTTGTGGTTTGTTTGTTGCTTATTTTATTGTGATTTTAAGTGTTTTATGTCATTTCAGAAGATTCTTGCCTGCGTTGGGTTTTGCGGTTTTGTTCTCTGATTAGTGTTTTATTCCCCCTGACTGTTGTTTTTATGTCGTACTTTGTCTTCGCTGTGTGAAGCGCTTCGTCACTTTGTTTTGATCAGTGCTGTACAAATGAAGATATTATTATTATCATCATAAATCCATTTTATTATTCGTGCAGCTTGGAGCGAGTCGCTGTTGGTTGCTCTCTGAAGGACTTTTGTATCCGATCATGGAAACATCAGCCGCTGATCTCAGGACAGATCGATTCTCCCGTGGTTGTCACGTACAGTCATATGCATACATTGAGATGTTAGTCACGTATGATTTACTGCGGTGTTGTCGTCCCGTCATCCCCTTCCTGGAATAACCTCTTCATGTGGACTCCCAGCTGACTCTCATCAGTACAAGTTAAAGGTCCGACCTGAAGACAGTCACATTCTAACAAAATGTCCTCATTGTTTTTTTTATTTACATGCTAGAAGACAAAGCATGAGCAGCCATGACCACAGCTGAGCAACTTTAAAAACGCAGTGCATCTCACATACGCTCATTTAGACTTCCAGGGTTTCATATGTAACAGAATCTGAGGAACCAACCTTGTGCCAATGAGTTCTTCTCCTTCTTCTTCTTCTTCTCCACCTGGGTTGTGCCATTTCTCTGCTCTCCTCGAGGAAATGGAGCTTTTGATGCTTTCTTGTCACATCTGTTTTGCTTCAGCTCCGTTTTCAGCGCTGCATATATTGTCACAACTCAGTAAATTTTATAGCCATGTGTACGACACATGTCTGGACAAGTCAGTGCTAGAAGAGCTGCAGTCGTTGGTTTTCAGCCTTTCTTGGCTCTGGGGACTAAAAAACAAAGACCAGACTCATACTGCAGCTGTCTACTATGTATTTTGAATTGCAAAGTTATTTCAAGCCAAGATTCGGTCATAGAGGATGATACTTGGGTGGAATCAAGAAGTTTCAGCAGAAGATAATAATGACTTTTTAAGCTCACATTATGTCCTCATGTCCACCACCAGCTACCAGGTTAGAGAGTGCAAAGAGTTGGACGGCAAACGTGACAAACGGCGATCGTCCTGCCGGAAGTAAGCGTTGTTGACGGATCGCCGGCGTTCAGTCTGTCAGGTGTTGATACCGACCCTCGGACATGATAAGAGCAGACGGCCGTCATAAAAAAACCAGAGACACAGATGTTGCTGTTGGTGCTTAGAGCTGATAAGACATCTACAGCTGCAGCAATGACAGGCTCACCTGCTGGAACATGGACCGAGGACATGACTCAGGCCGTTTCTTAACCCTTTACAGTTTCATGTCAACCTGATGTAGGTACTGAAGGAAGTAGTCGGTACTTGAGCCTTGCTGTGGTGGACTAAAGCTCTGTATCCAGCAGTATGGCTCCAAGGATGGCAGTGTGGGTCTATCGAGCGGCCAAATGTTGGGTCTCCCACTTTGATTTGCAATAAAAAGTATTCATTGGATCGCTGTGAAGTTTTCTATAAACATTCATGGTCCCAAGAAGATAAATTCCACTGACTCTGGTGAACCCCTGACTCTTCCTTTAGGACCACCATGAAGCTAACGTTTGTGGTCCAAGAACTAATATCATCGTTTTACGAGCTGATCTTCATCCCAACGGTGTCTAGGGGCCGAAACAATGAGGTTGCAGATCCAACCGACCAAAATGAGTTTTCTCAGCCTTAGAAATCGGGCGGGGAGCCGGACATTCAGAGGGAGTTCGGAGTAGAGTTGCTGATCTGTTGCCCCGATAGGAAACCCGCTTAGGCGGTTTCTTTGAAAGTTTTCCGGCGAGTCCAACTGGGATGCGACCCCAGGGTGAGCTCAGAGGGATTATGTATCTCATCTGGCCTGGGAACGCCTTGAGATCTCCCACGAGGAACTGGAAAATGTTGCTGGGGAGAGAGATATCTGGAATGACCTCTTCAGCTTATCACCACCACCGCGACCCAACCCAGTGAAAATGCAACAAAATGAAATGGATGAATGCAACACCATGACAGCTGCAGACGGACGGGTATGACATTAGCCAGAAATATTCAGGGGTTCCCACTGGACAAGTGTAAAATCCTAATGATCCACTGACTCTCAGAGTTCACTTGTTTTTTGATTTAACTGAACAGAACTATGGCCGATATTTAGCCTCCTGAGGATGAATTGTAATTTTTCATTTCACTCCCCCATCAGGTCAAATTCTTCATTCGTCCGTTGCTTTGGTTTGTTGGTTCATGACCAGATTAGCAAAACAAAAAAAAACAAAAAAAGATTTTCACGTCAGCCTCAGCAGTACTTTGTGTTTCGTCCTAACGCTGACCCTGAGTTAATGTCTCTTAATTGCCCTAACTGCCATACATCAGACTGTTGTTGGTAAAAACCATTACGTTTACCTCATTTGCCGGGTTAGGTAAGGACTCCAGGCTCAGACAGACTGTCCTTAAACGCCCAGATCTGAGTCTCTTCGGTAGCTGGTGTCTAACCTTGACAAGGGAATAAAAAAGAAGGAATTCCCTGGTGGTTTCTACTAAAGCATGGACATGTTATTGCATTACAAACACAAACTAACATGATTTAATCTGGCAAACAGCCGCTGCCTGTTGCAGACCGTTTGCCCCGTACATATCAAACATTTTCAAGCTGTGATCCAGTTACTTATTTAAGGGGAATAAGATCTCATTTTTGGCGCCTTAATGCTGCCACGAGATGGACAAACAAGAAATCCAGCCAGTTTATACATGCAAGCTGGCTGCTATTTCCAGAAAAATGCAGACATATTTCAACGACTGTAACGTGACTGTGTGTGTGTGTCCACAGGGCCGTAGCATGGGGTGATGAGGACGCTCCTCTGCTGACCTCAGTGCAGATGACTAGTGATGGCCACAGCATCACCTCGACAGTAAGTTACACAAATCACAGGTTGTCCTCAATGAGCAGGGCAATTTGTGCAATCCATGCTAACGTTAGCATTATTGCTCTCCCTGAATTTCACTTTAGCCTAAATAAATCATATCCTGTGACTAATCGAGGCTTATTCAAACGACTAATTACTGCAAATCATCAATTAAGTTTGCCTTTGAATCAAATAAGGATGCTGTCTGCACCAAAAAAATGTACAAAGTCGTATTTGTTAAGTTGCTGTGAGACAAAACGTATAAAAATCTCTTCTACTAAACATGTAGAAGATGTAAATGAATACATTTTCAATGATGTTTTGTGTTGGACTTTGTGTTAGTCTCAGTTTTGACACCAAGATTTTCAGTTTCTTGCAAATGAGCTGTACAGTTGTGACTCGATAATCTGACCCTTAACGATCCTAAACCTGCTATCTGACAGGTATTTAGGAAAAACAAACAGAACCCATAAAAACAGCCTTAACATAGCGACAGCCTTGGATCCTGACTCCGACATGACATTTAATGTCACCAATCAGGATGACGGCGTATTATCTGACTGAACAATCCCACAGATTAGCTACGTTCACACTGCAGGACTTGATGCTCAATGAGGATTTCTTTGTGACTTCCTTCACGTTTCCACTTCAATGCGACTTGTATGTGATCTGCTGTGTGAACTTCATACGACCCAAAAGTGTCCCGCATGCGCAGAAGAGGACACGACGACGTCACACGCAGCGAGCGTGCTCAGTGTTTATGGAAGTAAACATGGATGGTAACGGTGGAGCGTATCTGCCACTCCCCCGCCGCCACTGATGGAGGAAACAGAAGTGTGAGCGCTAACTAAACTAGCATCAGCAGCCAAGTACTGCCTGTGTGTTCTGGACACTTCCACCCCGTCAGATCGCTGCCCCGGGGTGGAAGTGGCAGGAATGTGCACAATCTCACTGGTCAGTTAGGAGTGAGATCCAGCGATGTGTAGTGTTCTAACAGCACACTAATTATTATAACAACTATGAACACTAATTAACAACTAATGAGCCTTCCAGCATCAAGCCCTCCTCGTATCTGGACCTCCGTCTTGACAATCCGACAGCCTTGATATCCCACATAAAAGAAGGTTTTACATTTAGTGTCGCATTATCGAGTCACGACTGTGTGTTGGTTCCAAATATCTCCTTGGTTGCTGATAATCAGTGTCATGGCAGTACAGTCCAGGTAGGGAGTAACTCCTACTCAGTTCTTCTCTGATGCTTACACATTAGAAAACATTCCATCAGCAAATCAGCTTTTCTTCTTGCAGTTTGTTGGATGACATAATAAACCCAGAACAACAACAACAAGACCAACAGGAGCAGGAGGAGTTCTTGAACTCGGTGGAGACGGTCGTTCTCACCATCTTCCTCTCCATCATCATTATCATGACGGTCTTTGGGAACCTGCTGGTCATGGTGGCGCTCTGCAAGGACAGACATCTACGGTGAGCCTCTTGTCTTTATTCAGCGCTGGTAGAAGCAACAGCGATGGTCCAGTCTGACTTAGTGCAGCAGCCTGCAGAATCAGTACAGAACTCAACCAACCTCAGCTGCTGCAACTTTAACAAAAAAAACCATGTCAGTCGCTGCCTGTGAGGGTTACAGGGTTAGAGCACACATATTCCTGTGAGGCATTTTTACAGAGAAAAGCTAGCATTGTGTCGGACTGTAACGCTGACATCATGCAGCACACGCTGAGCGCTGGCAAGTGGCAGCGAGAGTTTAAGAATTTAGCTTTTCTACTAAATGAAACCAGTGTTGGAAGTTTGATCACAGCTGTAATTGTATTGTAGAGGGGGTCAATGAAGGAACAAACCCATTAAATGTGAGAGCGCTCGACTTGTCCTGAAAAACCCTCAGTGGTCTCAGAGGCACGTCGGTATCTGGTGACATTTCATCACTTGGTTCCCCAGAGGAACAAAAAAATGTATCTGGACATGAAAAGTTTTGAAAAAATATTTAGTTGCTCTTGTTTTGTTATTTTAAAAAAAATCTAATCTGCATTTTTTTGATGTGGTCTTATCATCAGACATCAAACTTTGGGTCTTTGGGTATAAATGCAAAACTGGACACACGCCAGTCGCTTCATCTTTCTGCAAAGTCAGACAGCTGGCAGGTCGAGTAGCAGCAGCAGCTTCAGAGGTTAGAAATGAGAGCTTATCGCCGTCAGGTCGGACATGATGCTAAAGTACGACATACAGTAGAGCGTACACGTTTTGTCACGTTGGAGTTAGAAAATAGGAGTCAGATGGCCGGCTGGTTGTGGCTTAAAGAAATTTTAATCAAACAAAACTAAAAAGGTGGGGAGCAAAGAAGAAGATGGCTGAAACATCAAGTCCATGTCAGAAAAGAATCCAAAGATCCCGTAAGAAACAGGTGAAGCTGATCAAAAGAGGGAGAAAGCAAAACAGCAGGAGACTCACAAAGACGAGGATCTTTACAAAATGAACAGGAAATAACTGATCATTGAACTCGTCTCCTCTCCTTAACTCAGAAAGAAAAAGACCAACTACTTCATCGTGTCGCTGGCCTTCGCCGACTTGCTGGTGGCGCTGGTCGTGATGCCGTTCGCTGCCATCGAGCTGACGACCGGCCGGTGGCGTTACGGAGAGATCTTCTGCCTGGTGCGGACGTCTCTGGACGTCTTGTTGACCACGGCGTCCATCCTGCACCTCTGCTGCATCGCACTGGACAGGTTTGTGTGTGAGAGAGAGACGACGAGGGAAACTTAAGCTCATTTTTAGACTTTCTTTGGCAGCTTATTATGAAATCTGAAACCTAAAAACACAATAAATGGAGCACAAAAATTCTAAAACGTGCAGAAACAGAATGACCTCCTGTGTTAATATTATATAATATAATACGGCAGGGCTTCTTGTAATCTACCAAACGAATGTGGTGACTTAATCCATGTCATTGTTGTCATGGTGACGTCCCTCCACAGGCATCGAAGAAACCCTTAAAAATTCTTCTTCATACTAAGAAGTTTGTTTAATGAAAGTTGTTTTTTTTTTTAACTTTAAAATGGCTTTGATGTAACTCTACACTATGGCCACTCACTGCAGCTCAAGCACACCAGCACACCTGCTCACCTTAAACACCTTAAACCCACCTGAAGCTGGCAAACAGGACCTTTTCTCCAAAAAACCTCAGATGTATTTTGACTCTCCTCTCTGAATATTTGTTGCTTAAATGTTATAAACCAGTGGATTAAGCGTTATTTCGTTACAGCCTTTTGTTTGGATCTCTAACCTCAAATAAAAATCTAGCTAATGATGAATGAATAATAACAAATAATCGGTTTCGCTGTGCTTCCCAGGGGGGCTTCGAGTGGACTGAGTGTGGATTAAATGGCGTTAAATTTCATTTTGAATTTGGCCAAATATTTGACCGTGTCATCCAAATAAATTCCTTGTATTAGATATCACACATGACAAAAAAAGATCATCTTCTGATGCCAACTGCAGGCTCAGTTTGGAAGACAACAGGATGAACTTTGCATTAGAACAGTATTTGATTTTGTGTTTACTGTATGCTGTAGTGCACAACATGTGTGTGCAAGTCTGTGTGTGTGTTGTTGCAGGTACTACGCTATCTGCTGCCAGCCGCTGGTCTACAGACACAAGATGACCCCACTGAGAGTGGCGGTCATGCTCAGCGGCTGCTGGCTCATCCCCACCTTCATCTCCTTCCTACCCATCATGCAAAGCTGGAACGCCATCGGGATCGAGGACATTGTGAGTCCTCAGTTGCTAAGATCAGAAACCGTGGAGGGGCAACAGGTGACGCAGTAACAAAAACAGCTGCCTGCATGATCCCAGTTGTTGGATAAATTACATAACAATCCTGCATCAACCCCAGCATACTGTATGTTTGAACAGAGGGTCACACTGAGGAGCTCCTGCACCTCCCTCAGATGCCCTAAGATAGCTATGTGCTTTCTGTGAGGGCAGAAGCTGCATTAACCTCTCCAGTCCAATATTCTCTGTTTCTAATAACGTTTGCAATCCCTTGAACAGTGATCACAAAACAATTCCAGTCCCTGTGGAGGCTTTTCTAGCTGCGAGCAAAGACAGCACTTCAACGAGCATCTTCCTCTGGTTTGGATATGTTTTGGCGTGAGGTTATTTCAGAGCTGCCTTGAAATGAGCAGCAGGACTCCCAGAGGCAGACAGGGATAGATGAATTTATTCATCCAGACTTAATGAAATGCACAGCTCTTTTCTCTGTCTTCCAGTCAGGCAGCATCCAAACAGCACAGTTCTGTTTTGCACTGCTGGCCAGCGGTCATCTGTCACGCACACAACTGCGTCGGACTTGAAGTGACTTACGCCCGTACATTTAGGCCAGGTTTTAGTTTATTACTGTGTGTGTGTTTGTGTCTTCTTTCGTTGCCTTTCTTATGAAAATTCTTAAACTTTTTTTTCTTGCACTCGCTCTGTTCTGACCCAAAAAGGAGTTGTTTGAAACCAAATCTTATTCTCACTCCAGCTGTGACAAAGATGCAGGAGTTGATTCAGTAACTGTGACAATAGCTAAACGATGCGGTGGAGCTCGTCTGTTTGGTTTGATCTATGTCTGCTCCAGTTTCACAGAAGAGAGGACGGCCCTCCTCCTCCTCCTCCTCCTCCTCCTCGCATCGCAACCGATACTTAAAGCTGCAGCGAGCAGAAAAAGAAAATCACCAGAACTTTAAAATGCAGCTTCTCCCTTCCACCAGAACTACAGAGGTGTATGCATGTGGTTCAGAAAGTTAGCATTCAGCTCATAAAACTTTTAAACTTACAGAAGCAGAGTGATCTTTTTAACCCGTTGTGCCACCGGACCCTAGCTGCTCTTGTTTATAGTCGCTGTGCACCTTTTTCAGCAGTCGGGACAAAAGCAAATGAGGAGTGATGACAGGCGACAAAGGGAGGAGCGTATCTGTTACACGAACGGGAAAACCTCCCATTAATTTTTGATAAGATAAAGATGCCACAGAGATAAAAACTGATACGAGCCGCCTGTGCTGCAGTAACTTGCAGTAAATCCAGCAGCTTGTTATCAAGACTCTGACGTGTTTGTGTAAGCCATGTGGTCGAGGTTGTGCAGACGCCACCGACAGGCAGGTGAAAGCAACAATCAGATCCAAACAGAAGATGACTGAAGGTTCAGGGAAAATCCACAAGACTAGAAGTCTATAGCATAACATCTAATTCAGAGAGAAAAGAATCCAGACACCAAAGAAAGAACAAAATCTTAACCTCGGCAAAAACCAAAGGAGCATAAGGAGGACAGCAACGGTAGCAACCAGGGTGCAAAACTAGAAATACACACCAGAAACACATGAAGACAATCAGCTTGTCCTGTTTGCCTTCCTTCTGTTGACCAGCCTGACAGAAGGCAGGTGAACTACGTATAGAGAGAGGACGGACTGGGTGGAACGAATTCTAAAAAGGTGGAAAATGAAGACAAAGGAAGTCAAACAGGTTACCAGGATATTTACAGGTTAAAACAGAAAAAACTGAACTCATGACAGTTGTAGGTGTTTATGCCAGTTTCGCTGTTGGTGCCCCACAGGCAGCATAGTGATGGTACAAAGCCACTATCATGTCTGATGTGAGTGAAAAGCTCAGCTCTCCTGTCATGGGCTAGATCTCCTACAGCCTGCAAACAGGAGGTTTCCTCTCCGACCACTTGAATTACAACATGTTGAAAGGTTGTCGTGGAATTTCTGAATGGAAACACTAAAAAAAGCCCAAGTTTAGATTCCTGTTGATCAAACAGCTCCAACATGAGCGGTTCTTTACCAGGATGTACCAAAGCCCGTCTTCTCCATAATGAGATGACATCAAATTCTTCTTTTAGCTTCAGGCACTTGTCTAAATGCAGATTTTTATTTCACCCTGACCTGCTCATGGTTTCAATTGAGGACATTACAAAGCATTTTATTATTATAATATTTAACATATTGCTGCTTTCATTAGCGTGCTTTAGCCTAAAGAGCCTAACGAAGGTGAAATCAGCTGCCATGAGTCACCTCTAAAGTTAACTACTAACAGAAATGTAGAAGAGCTTGACCGAGGCCGGCTAGCTGTCTCTCCTTGCCTCCAGTCTTTATTCTATACATAGCACGTCACATTCATATTATTGTCTGTTTCTGCTCTTTACAGATTGAGGAGAGGCGAGCGCTGACCGGAGGCTCTAATGACACAAGCTGTGTGTTTCTGGTCAACCGGCCTTACGCCCTCATCTGCTCCGCCGTGGCCTTCTACGTCCCGTTGGCCCTCATGGTTCTGGCCTACCAGCGGATCTATGTCACCGCCATGACCCACGTACGGCAGATAGAGACGCTTCACCGCGCCGGTTCTGCTCCTGTTACCGGCACAGACCCGATCATCACTGTGAGGTCGTCCACTTCCTCGGACCCGTTGGACCACTACCGCCTCAGGACAACAACGGGTTCCTCCTCCTCAGAGCAGGCGCCCGCGACCAATAGCCGGATGCGCATCGAGACTAAAGCAGCCAAGACGCTGGCGGTCATAATGGGCTGTTTCTGCCTGTGCTGGGCGCCGTTCTTCATCACCAACGTGGTGGACCCCTTCATCCACTACTCAGTACCCTGGCAGCTGTGGACAGCCTGGCTGTGGCTCGGGTACATTAACTCAGGGCTGAACCCTTTCCTGTACGCCTTTCTGAACCGGGCTTTCCGGAGGGCGTTTCTGGTGATTCTCTGCTGTGGGGATGAGCGCTACTCGCGGCAGGGGAGCTGCTCCTATGGACACACTCACAGAGCATGCTCAGCAGCGTCGGTCAACGGGACGTCCATGGCACCGAGGTAAACACACTGCAAAGGCACATTCGCACCACTTTCTTCTGTTAATGCAGTGAAGCCAGTTTTGATCACGTCCTTTATCTTTGGACTGATGACAGATGTCACTTTACCTTCACTTTGGTGTGAAGGACCGTGAAGGCGTGTGTGAATAAAGTTGGTATAAATGCATCAGAGTGTGTGTGTGTGTGTGTTGTCCTGCTGTCCTCTCTGTTAAAAGTCTTTCAGAAAGACATCAAGGCCTCGGGGAGGTTAATTTGTCTCCTCCTGCAGAGAGACAGAGCTGCATCCCCTTTCTAACTGCATGGGCTGCTGGGAAATCAGCCTTCCTCGTATTCGTCTGCCTTTAGCGGACGTCACTGTAAAACTGACAAGAGAATGATAGATGCTTATTGGTCCACATTTTGTCCCTTTGTTTTGATTTGTTGCAGCAGTTTAAAACCTTGCCAATGAAAGTCGCTTCATGAAATTAGGTCTTATGAATGCAACAAGGCACCGCATTCACAGACTGGATTCAGTACAGGCTGGCAGCATAGATTAAGTTTCTAGAAATTAGTGTCTGTGGTCAAAGCCTGAGAGAAAAATATGATGTCCTGCACTGTGAAATGAATTTAATAGACAAATCACTGGTTTCTTGTTTTGAGGTCTGATCATGAGTCCAGACAAGTCTGATCATGAGCTCCGTCATATGCTTCCCTATTTGTCTCTTTGAACCTTCTTAACCTAAAACATGCGCTCTACTGAGGCACTTGTTCAGCAGGAGTTGGGAAGGTGGATCAGGAGATAAGCCAATGCCGACGACATGTGGAAGATAGGAGTAGCAGAGCAGCAGCAGCAACATGAACCAAGCACTGAAAGGGTTTGTTCAAAATCAAAGCTCAAGTCATTGCCTTAGTTTGGTTAGCAGCTTAGCTTTCAGATGTAAAGCAGTGAGTTGAACGATGGAGTCCTGTGCAAAAGTCTGAGACACCAAAAGTCAATGAAGACTCAGGAAAATCAAACCACCCTTTGGACAAAGCATCCAAGCATCTTAGAGAACTTTCTTAAGTGGTCTTGGTGTCTTCTCTCTCTTCACATAATCCCAGACGGACTCTATGATCAGGGCTCTGTGGGGCCACACCATCTGTTGAAGGACTTCTTTGTTCTTCTCGTCACAGGAGAAAGCTTCGTATGGCTCTGGCTGTATATTTGGGGTCAAGCTGAAAAATGAATTTCAAACCAACTTGGTGGCTTCTTGGTGGTTGTGGGAAGCCAAACAGCGGAAGGACTTCTGCACAGTAATTTACATTTACATTGAAGTGTTTTTTATTTTTCAAAGAAAATGCTGATCCGAGTGTTTTTAGCCCAAAGCGGCTCTAAGACTAAGTACAGCGTCATCAAGCTCCTTCATAGCTTCTTTCTAATACTTATTGACAGTAAAGTCGTTCCTGTGACACATTTTTTTAAACATCTGAATATTAAAGAGGGCTGCAAGGTGTCTCGGTGATTAGTGTCATTGCCTCGCGGCAAGAAGGTCGCCTGTTCGCATCCCAGGATCTTCCTGCGTGGAGTCTCCATGTTCTCCCCGTGCAGCGTGGGTTCTCTCCGGGTTCTCCGGCTTCCTCCCACAGTCCACAAACATGCTGAGGTTAATTGGTGATTGTAAATTGTCCGTAGGTGTGAATGTGAGTGTGCTTGGTTGTCTGTCTCTAAGTGTAGCCCTGTGATAGACTGGTTACCTGTCCAGGTGAACCTGCCTTCACCCTGAGTCAGCTGGGATAGACTCCAGCCCCCCATAGTGAGGATTAAGGTGTAGAGATGATGGCTGGATGAATATTTAAGAAGTTTATTTATAGGGCATTATTGTATGTTTTTCTCTGGGGTTATTTTTAGATGATAAGGGTTTCAGGTATTTCTTCTACAAATATTATCCCTGACTTGAAACTTTGTTGTCTTAGTAAAAGAAAAGAAAAGAAAAGAAAAGAAAAGAAAAGAAAAGAAAAGAAAAAGAAAAGAAAAGGAAAACCTGACACCTGCTCTGAGAAAATTCTTTCTAGCTTAAAAGCAAACAACATATTGTCAGAGTTATGATTCATCTCAAGTCATTTGTCCATTCAGTCAGTTAAATAACTTGAGAAGCGATTGATTAGATTTTTCCTAATGTGTCTATTTGACAGATTTGAATCTTTAATTATAATGTAAAATATCACAATACTCAGTTGTTGTTTTTTACAGTGAGACCTCAGCTGAGGTTAATGGTGTTGACCCAGTGGAGGGCTGTGTTTGTGCTCTCAGCTCTTTGGACTTGGGAGGATGATGGATGGTGGACCTGCTTGCGTCTGCACTGTTTAACTTTAACACAAGTACTTCACAGCTGGAGAGCAACTAAGCGAAGCAAGCACAGGCTTACGCACACAAAGATGACAAATTAATTGACAGAAGATACGTGCAAGCGCTGGTATGTGAGACTCTTTGACCTCATGCATGGGTATCACATGCACATCGTTTTGTTCTGTTTTTTGCCTTTTACTCAGTACCCAGTGATTTCCACCACGTAGTCACCTGTGTGTGTGTCTGTAGCTCGGACAAAAAGAAGCAGGACACATGCTGACCTAATATCTCAGCTCCAGACGCAGCGGGTTTAGTTGTGATTTGGATAATGTGGGTCTCTGCTTGTGTGTTTCCATTGACATTTTTTGGGCTTTCGGTCCGTCTGTATCGGAAACAGAAAGACAAACAGTGTTAACTGCAATCTGATGTCTCTGAAATCTGTCTCAGACAGAAAACAGACTCAGACAATCAGATTAAAGCCGACAGGATACTGGAAACTGAAAATACTGGAGGAATCCTGTCAAATTAATTTGTCAGAAGCTCGAGGCACTTCGGCGGACTCTGTGGGCGGATGGTGTGTTTGTTCATCTGGGTGTTTCTCTGCACTGTCATTTTTTTTCAAGCTACACAAAGTGTTTTGTCTTTTCTCTATTTCTGGGCCTGAGTGTTTGACGGCATGCAAAAAAAATGAGAGCTATGTCGGACTTGGACGCAGTAATGGGGCAGAACTGTTTTGTAAAAAAATCATAATATTGGTGTTTTGGCCTATTTTTAAACTACATATTTTACAGTCGTGTTCTCAGCCGTAAATCATTTTTAAGTGATGCCTCCATTTCATTAATTGTTTTTCTTATCAGTAATGTTGTTCTCTGTGGTGGCCTTTACTAAGATAGAGCAGTGTCTTGGTTATTTTCAACCACGAAAAAGTAGAAGATTGTGGAAGATTGGATTTTTCCTCACCCAGTATTTTCTAAAAATACTTGACATTCACCAGCAGTGAAACTGAATTTACATTATTTCAATTAATAGGCAAAACCATCAGTATAGATCTGACATATGAAACAAGGCTGCTCTTCCTCCATGTTTATGCCTGTTTAAATTTGTAGCAGGAGAACTCATAAATCCTCAAATCAAACCTATGGACCTCTGATATTTTGCACTGTAGTATAAGCACATGTTTTGCATGGACTACAGACTTCATGGTAGAGGTTCATACTACAGCATTCTTGAGGCCTTTGTAGTGACACACAGCTCCAGCAGTGGATAGTCGACACTTGTTTGTGATTAGAGTCATAACAAAGACCTCGTGTTGTGGCCGCTGCTAGAAAACAGAAAAGACATCTACACCATCTGCAACAGGTTAAAGCTGTTGAGTAAATACAGTCGTGCCGTCCCCTCGTGTCCTTGTGTTCCTGTAGTACAACTTTGTCTACAGAGTATTTGTCTTCACTCCCTGTTTGTGATCTATATTGATCTATATATACCGGATCTGTTCTGTGTTTTAATATAGTCTAAGCTGTGTGTTATATGTTGTCATTGCTGCAAAGTGAGTCACTTGTCTGACACATCAGATGTCACAACCAGGTGGCAGCAGACTTAAGTTAGCATTAGAATGGTCTGTCCTGGCCGGACCTTTCATGTGTTTGTTGGCTGGCTGCACATCATCATCATTCTGCTGTACGAGGTGCGTCAGAAAAGTTCCAGGACTGGTGTCACAAAAGATAGATTTCAAACCCAAACCAGGAGTTTCCCCTTCAGACGATCAACCAGCACGTCTACAAAGAGATCCGTTTGCTTCGTCCAGAAGAGGCGAGAGTTGTGTCAGGACCAGTCGTGGCTGCTTCACCATGACAACCTGCTCACAGCGCCCTGAGCATCCCACAGCTCCTGGCTGAGAAGAACATCTCCGTGCTGGAGCAACCTCCCTACTCACCCCATCTGGCTCCGTGGGGTTGGTTTCTCTTCCCCAAGCTCAAGGGGGTCATCAAGGAGACCCGATTAGAAGACGTGGATGACATCAAGATGGCTGACGACGGAGCTGAAAGGATCCTGGAAGAATCCTTCCAGGAGTGCATGGCGGAATGAAGACAAGGCTGGAGGAGGGTGTTAGACTCCAGGGGGATTACTGGGAAGGGGAAAACTTGTTGTCTGTAGTTTGGATTTGAAATCTATCTTTTGTGACACCAGTCCTGGAACTTTTCTGCCACACCTCATGGAGGAAAAACTAACTTCTGGCTCGGTTGTGTTTCTTCCAGTCATAATCATGTTGGGCAGTTCTAAGCCCAGGATGCAGCAACAGTGTCCCTGCAAAATAGTGACGCAGGAATGGTTTTGGTGGAGCTCTGTCATTAAAATGGCTAATTCACTGACAGAACCAAGCTGGTTTGCCTGATTGAACAAGCCAATCTGCTGCCATTTTCAACATGTAGGTCACTGCAGAGGTTGTTGTTGCTTCTTGTAGAAAACAGTAACACACAGATAGTGGAAGAGGATTAGAAAACCACATGAAATAACAGAGTTATACCGGAGGTCTACATCTGGTGAGTCAGGCTATCATGGACTGTTGCCCCGGCTATGTCCAGGGTTAGACCAACTAGCAACGTCTTCCTGGACTTCAAGGAGACATTGCATGTTTTTGTGAAGATGAAGACATATCATTCGTTAATTCATGAACAGAGTCAGGGTAGCTTTTTCCTCCTTTATGCTAAGCTAACCACAGGC